CGACTGCTACGGTTGCTCTAAGAGGAAGAGGAGACAACACTGGCTTCTTACTCTTTTATCTCTATCTCTATTATCTTTATCTTACGCACTTCAAATTGGCCAATCACGAGCTGGTTCGCGTTTGAGAGAAAAGTGGTTCGTTTTCTCCCCCGTATTGTCTCATCTTCCTCTTAAGTTATTCCAATCGAGTAGAAGACCTGTCAAAATGATGTCTCTTTGTAAATTCAGGCTCTTTAACGAAAACGACATCACGTCTTCCTTCGCAAGGGAAGTAAAGCCGTTGGTCCCGGCCCATGTGTGTTGAATGAATGGGTGCGATATCCTATGCAGGTGTGGAAGCTGCCTTCCTGCACATTCGATTGCTTGGCATGGATGGCAATCGATGGCCGTCGGTGATTGGCACTAGATTGCGGAACAGTTAAATAAAGGAATGAAAAATGAAAACGACATTAATAAAAATGAAAATATGGACCAGTTAAGGCCCACGCACATTAGATCCGGATCGGACGCGTTGCGGCAAAGTGACAGCTAAATCTATTGTCTAACTGTCTAATTTACGTCAACGCAACGCAAACGGATTGATGCAATGACATTTATATAAGGTCTGGGCTAACAGGCAGCTTGCTAGTGTTAGAAGCAAAAATGTTGTAAACATTGCAGAACATCTTCGAACAGATAGAAATACGTCACTGCCAACATACTGAGAACAGATAGAAATACGTCACTGAAAACAGCTGTTTCGTGTAAAAAGATAAACATTGCAATAAAATACGAACACCACTAAACATTAATTTGCACATTTCACTAACACCAATAAGCCCTTTGGCCCAGACCTTATATAAACGTCATTGGATCTGATGTGGGTGGCCCTTTAGGTCTGTGCCAAATGTGCACAAATGGGAAAGAAAAATAAAAATAAAAATGAAGTATACACTCAGAACAAAATTTAAACTAACTACTTTAAAAATCACTCTAAATCGCTATTCGCCTGGTTGACTCATACTGCCGTTCTACGCATATCAGTCCCATGTTTCAAAAGTTGCTTCTGAGTAAATCGCGAATAATGTTTCGAATCATTTCTGCTCATTGGAAGAAATATACGTTAACATAAGTTACCGCATTGTTCACATTTCAACAGAATCAATATGTTTTAGTGAAAACTACAGAAATTACCTTCAATGAAATCAGTTAAGCCTATTTTTATACGAAAAATATTTAATGGGACTATTATGCCTAGAAATTTGCAATGAAGTAGGATATTCTACGCATGTTAGTCCCACTAGGAGCTGTTACTTTCAGTGTTGCTTTGATGGTCACGTTGCGTTTGACGTCTTTACTCTTGTGCTTGTATAGACCTTTTTGACGTTTAACCATCTTTCTCTATCTAACACACATGGATGAATGGACGGTTTGTTTTCCCACTAATCTGTTTCCCTTTTGCTCGCACTCGTTCGCTTTAAATGGTACAGTAGTGTGCGCCGATTAAACGTCAAAAAGCTCTATGAGCGTGCTTGCGTTATCTCCGAAGTTTTGGAAGATCCATCATTAAATTATACCAACAATAAATTTGTTGACATTGCGCTACTTCTATAAAACTATTAAAAGTATGCGCATTTCCAGAAACTAATGATGAATGCACTATTTAGAACATAAACTTCTTAACATCTTGTTCTACTCCTTATAGCAAGATGAACGTAGGCCTAAAGGAGATTGTGCTTAATCATTTTAAGTCCAACCATAGATTTATGGCGGCTGACATGCTGTGGACAAAAGATCAATACGTTACACGATCGTTGACCGTGGGCTTTGATGATTTCAAGAAATACTTTGGATGAGTTGACATGCACATGCAAATTTCTTCCGTACGGAATTGACCTTTATACTGCGTATTATCATATTATAAAAGGGGCTTTTCATGAAACACGTAGACACTATAGGGGGAGTGTGGGTGTGGCGAGTGTCTACGTAAGTGTCTAATAATGCATTGTTTGAAATAAGAAACTGGTGTTTTAATATGAAATCCCGGTTTTCTTAATATTTATCAACATAATATAAAACTTCCACTTCCTAAAATGATTCATACCGTTTCTTTTGATTGCATAAATCCTGTTTCAATAATTTGTGTACACAAATCGATTCTTTAATGATAGATTCAGTCAAGAAGATCTTTGTGGTAGCGGCGCCGGTGGTGTAGTGGTAAGCGTGATTACCTCTCACCCCAGCAGGCCTGGGTTCAATCCCAGTCGGCGCCGTTTATCCCCACGGCCATGAAAAGACATTTTCAGCACACAGTTCGATATGTGCAGCTATTATCTAGCGCATTAAACGGGAAACACGAAAAGAAACGGTTTTGTAGAAATGGAGCAAATCGATAAAGAGACTCGATCAATATCACCTAGGACCCCACGCACTGCTCAGCTTGTATAAACAATATCACATCACTAACCCATTTTCGTACAATCGACAATCATACAGTCATCGAAATGAAGGGTTATTACAACAATTTGGGAAAAATTAATGATGTGATATTGTCACTGTGTCATGTAGCACTTAGCTTGCGGCACGTCAAGCCGGCCAGTTCAGCTCAAGGGAGCTTCTTCTTAGTTTCTTAATCAATATCATAACATCGGCTGAATATCGCTGCCTGTGTTCAAGCAATAAATACGCTTTGACAATGTTATGAAAACTGGCGCTCAATAAACCAATCAGTCAGATAATCGGGCTTCGGGTCAATCTGCAGCAAATTCTCCAGGGCTTAGGCTGAACGTAGCTTAAGATCAAAACCAAACGGAAGATGTATTATAGGATCCGGTACACGGTGAACTTCAATATGTTTTCGCTTTCCACCTCGGAGAACAGCATCAAGAGCTGCGTTCAACATTGGCTGAACTGAGTGGGCGTGCGTTTCGTAGAACCACGCGGTGTATTTATCACGGATGCCTTAGACCTAAGGATTTAAACTTCTTTTTCTTTCCTTTATTCAACGTTGGTCTCTGTTCCGCAATCTAGTGCCAATCACCGACGGACATCGATTGCCATCAATTGACGGCAATCGAATGTGCAGGAAGGCAGTTTCCACACCTGCGTAGGATATCGCACCCATTCAAACACACATGGGCCGGGACCAACGGCTTTACTTCCCTTCCGAAGGAAGACGTAACCAGACATTTTTATGCATCAGAAAAATGTCACCGACCTCGCCTGGGATTGAACCCAGACCCATTGGGGTGAGAAAGCAGTGAAGTTTACCACTACACCACCGGCGCCGGCTTGTTTTTAAACTAAAAATCTAAATTATCCCCACAACAGAAACTCATTAAGCTCATCGCCAAATCCTACCAAAGATATACTTCAGCTGATCTCATGCGTATAAGAAACATTGCTTGTTCTGGGTGTTCTGAAACGAATAGTACAACTTCCTGTAATCGCTCTTCGAATGGGGCCGTCAGTCAAAAACAAATTTTCTCCAGATCCATGATGAGCAGGGGGGTTGGAAATTATCCACGGCCCATACAAATTTTAAAAATTATGTATGGACAATTGTCTACGCAGGGGCAAGAATCCCAAAAAAACTGTCTACGTAGTTAATGAACAGCCCCTTAGGCCGCGGCCAGGGTAGACGCGTTTCGCGATGTCCTTATTTCAAGCTGAACATTTGCATTAGGGCATAAGTAACATTGATCGATTCTCTTCGTCGACTTTCTCTTTCGTTTCTTGTTGTGTTTGTCGTATTAGATGAAAGCTTCTTTTATCGATGTGTGCTGAAAATACCTGGTAATGTCATAAGATGACCGCCCAACAAACAATTTTAGCTGCAACTTAGCTTATACAGGCAAAAATTAGCTGCATTAGGCAAATTTTGGCTGTATAAGCTAATCTGCAGCTAAAATTGTTTGTTGGGCGTGCCAGCTGGGTGACATGCCGCCATGTTATTGAAACCAACATCTGAAACGTCACAATTCCAGTGTGAACTGCAAAAATTGCGTGACTGAATTGTCTTATTTTTATCAAATGAAATTATTTTCCCTTTTATGCCATATAAATGGTTGACTTCGTGATAGAAAATCAGAAAATAATATTTTATGAGTCCTAAGTTTATTTTTCACAAAATGTAAGCAAAAATATTAAGAATATCCATAATATCAGTCACGCCTTTTTTGAAATTCTGGCTTGAATCTTCTATTTGTTTACAAATTATGAGCTGTCAGTGGGGCCCACAATTCGCGGGCCCGCAGCGATGTTAGCTCTTTTCAAGGCAAGGCAAACAAGATAGGGATGCCACCCAGCTGGGCCGTGCGGATACAAAGAGAAAGTCGCCTAAGAGAATCTGTAAATGTTACTTAGGACCTAATGCAATGTTTAGTTCGAAATACAGCAAGAAACAGTTATGTGCTCAAGTTATTAACGAAAAACGTCGAAAGTCGACGAAGAGAATCGATCAATGTTACTGTGGACCTAATGCAATGTTCAGCTTGCTTTCTCTATCGCTTTTCCTTCTTCTTCTTTTTCTGAGTTTCCACAGTACACCGAAAAAAGTTTTCATATAGTTTCCATTGGGAACACACATGATATTTTTCCAATAACAAAATTAATGATTTTATCTGAAATTCACATACCATTTATATGATCACATGAATACTATGTGATAAATCACATAAATTTCATTGGACACATGAGGTTCATGTGATTTTGTAGAGCTTTTCCCAATTATGAGATCACATGAAAGTTTTGTGAAATTCTAATGGATATTTTCCATTGGAAATGTGATTTATTTTTTGAGTGTACGCCAACACGTCCAATCAGAACGGCTCAGCGACTAAATTCAGTTGACATAGAGCATTTTCTTTCCATACGAAATTTACTAATATTTGGGAAAACTTGCAGTTACTCATTAGCTATGAGTTCAGTCGATGAGTCGTTCTTTTTAATTGAAGTCATTTTAACGCTTTTGGGTCATTCGTGAGAGTCGTTTTGATTGGCAGTGACTGCCTTCTCCATTTTTTCCATGCATTCGACTGAAACTGACAAAGGCAGTGATGGAAAAGTTCACTTAAAACTTACTTTGGCTCGTGAACGTTTTCCTTGGTGAAGTTCGTGAAATATCGCATACTTTTCCAACACTGAACAAAGGACTTTCGGACGAAAATATCACCGGCAACGATTGTCTACCTATATTCCATTTAAATGATAAATCAGTTACGAATTACAGTCAAATATCATTTTTTTTTTTCCTTTGGTTTATTTTCCGTCGATCTTGTTTTCCGTGCTGAGCACCAATGCTACCGACGCGCCAGGAAGGCAGCTCCCACACCTGGACCCTACCTATCGACCCATCAACTCATGAACCGGGGACCAACGGCTTTACTTCCCATCCGAAGGAAGGCGTGATCAGAGATGTTATGCCTCAGAACATCCCGGCGGCGCCGACTGGAATTGAACGCAGGCCTGCTGGGGTGAGAGGTAATCACGCTTACCACTACACCACCGGCGCCGTTATAGTCAAATATCTTTAACTCGATAGAAATCGATAGATAGCCTACTTGGACCGTTTTCCCAATACAAATTTCCAAAATTTACCTCTCTAACTCGATTGTCCCTTCAATATCGAGTTGACTGTAATACGACGCCTGGTGACTATGAGGCGTTCTGAGCTAGTTCTTCACTGCCTGCACTTTCCTTCGGGATATTGATTAAAACTCCCGTGTGCGCGCTTCGAGTATGACCTAGGAAAAACAGTAACAACCGTATCACAAAAATGTTTCAACTTGTTACATGCAGCCTTAAATACTTACGGGCCAGACAATTCTGCTGCGCAAAACCCACATTGCAAATGATGCACACGAACGGTTTTTCTCCAGTATGTTCTCGAATGTGATTTTTAAGCGACATAGCCCATGCATAAACTTTTCCACAGTCAGCGCACTGGTATGGTTTATCAACCGAATGTATTTTCCTGTGACGATTCAGATCGCTGTTTCGGCCGAATGATTTCTTGCATACCTGCATATTTATAAAATCAAGTTTCAATCGTTTGGTGCCCGTCTAATGCACCTACTGCTACTAGCTGCTACTGTACATTTAGTTACGTTCAAGAAATAGTGGATAGGGTTAGATTTGTAATTACCTGACAACTGTACGGTTTTTGTTTCATATGTACGGCATTGACATGCTGTTGCAAATGTACAATGTTGTTAAATGCATGGCCGCATGCCTTACAGACATAACGTCGGTCCTTGCTGTGCATTTTCATGTGGTTTCCTAACGCTGACGGTATTCTGTACGATTTGCCACACAAATCACAACAGTACGGATTTTCCTCTCTTGGTCTTTTGCGAAGATTTTTGGGAGAATTCTCTTCTTCCTTGATGACAACTTCCTTTTTTTCTTGCAATGATTGATCGATCACTTGATCATTAATTTCTTTCGTTTTGTTGTGAATTAACAATCGATGCCGCCTCAAATCTCGGATCCTTAGATAAGATTCTTGGCAAAATTCACAGTGGTGTGTTTTTTCGACGTTGTGAAGCTTCATGTGTCCTTTAAGTGTGTATTGATGGACAAATTGTTTGCCACATTGATCGCACTGATATGCTTTGAGGTTTAGATGGACATCATGGTGTGCTTTTAGACTATCTTTTCTTGAAAATGTTTTACTACAAATTGTACATGCATACTTTTCTGCATCTCCGTTGTGGATTTTGAGATGATTTTTGAGATGCCTTTTGAGGCTACTGTCGTAGATGAAACTTTTGCCACAGATGTTACACAGGTGAGTTCGTTTCCCCGTGTGAGTGAGTTCGTGACTTTTCCAATGGTTACGATGATCAAATGATTTGTCGCAGTAGCTGCATGTGTATGATTTTTTGGGCTTGTTAGTCCGGCTGTGGGATTTCAAGTGAGACTGATATGTGGATGTTTTGTTAAATTTCATTCCACACGTAGCACATTCATGATCGCCAAAAACATGAACAAAAGCCTTGTGTTTTCGAAGATACCGTCTCGTTTTGAAAGACTTGTCACATTCATTACATGAAAACCCTTTTACATCACTATGCAAATTTAGATGATCATTCATGTTGGCAACGGTTCGAAAAATTTTATCACACAAAGGACATTTTAGCTTCTCATCGACCTTTACGCAATTGCCCTCTTTGAACGTTTCTTCCTCTTCCGATGAAGAACCGTCATCCTCTGGATTATATTCTGATGTCGATTCAGCTTTATCGTCCAGATGTTCCTCATTTTCGTCATCATCTGGCGGTTCCAATTTCGTCGATTCAATGAAAAGTTCTGAATCTCCAACGAAACAATCTAGTACTTCTGGATTGCATTTCGGCTTATCTTCGGGGACTTTGAAACAGTTCTGTTCGAGATACTCTTGAGCCTTTTCACATTGCTTTCGGAAAGCATCGATAGTCTCCAACCGTTGCATGCAAATGCTACATATATTTTCCGGATATCCATCATCTTTCACAATCTGGAATATTACGATAGAAAAAGGAATAGAATAAAAAAAAGGTGTGACCCCTACTAATCGAATACCTTTAGATTTAGTAGTAACAGCTGATCCAACAAATCAAATTTGCCACTGGCTTTACTGCCTTCGAAAATTGAAGTCAACTGTTCGTCTGAATTGGTGTTCAAACAGGTACGACAAGTGAAAGCAAGCGATAGCTTGGCTACGCTAACTGCATCAAATCCGTCGTCGTTGTTCATTCTATATAATATGATTTTTAATTATAACGTTATATAGCTTCCCAGCACCATAAAAATACAAAAATCTGCAGCAATGAAAACAATCTAATGAGTTTTTGGGTAAACTGTGTTGGGAGTGACAAGTTGACAAATGAACAACAATGACATGAATCCGTTCGAGCTTGTGCATTTGTCAACTTGTCACTCCCAACACAGATTACCCATTTTTGGGTAGGTTCAGATTTGACCGAGCTGGGTGGATTCTACCCAAAATTGGGTAGTTTTGAAATAGCGTGTTCATCGTCATTAAAGCCTTCTATTATAGTTAAAGTGCGGACGACTGTCACCACAAAACTGAAAAATGCTGTTCCAATCCTGCGAACAATTGCTTGATCTTACCAAAAAACTGTTAAAAATTGTTTATAATCCCTGCTAAACTTTAACTGAAATGGTTATGGAACTTCACATGAACCGTTGTGTGATAAAGTTTTAACCTGGGAGGGAGAAGCAGATAGCACACACGGAATTCATTGTATACTTGTTCTTCTTGTCATGAAAATTTGTGCCGTTGAAATCAAATCAAAACAGGCGTAGCAAAATAGCGTGTTTTGCTTTGGGCGTGTAGTGATTGTTTGAGATTGTTCAGTGTGCAGTGAGAAACTGTACTTTTCTGTTTGGTATTTTACTATGCCACTAGATGTTTTGACAAAACCTTGGCTAATGGCATCTTTCAATATTGATTTGTGTGTATTTTGAATGAATTAAAAAGAAACGGTGTCCCATTGAATAAAATAGCTGGAAACGACAGTTTGTCACAAATTACTTTACGCAAGATTTCAATACCACCTTGTGCATTCTTGTTCAACTGTAAGAAAAGCATCATTAAATTGCTTGGCTCCAAATGACAGTTCGTGACAGCAGCCGTCTGGCTGCATTTGACGTTCCATTTTTCTCTCTTCGCGACTCTCCCTCAGGTTTTAACCTTGTATTATGGTTTTTTGGAAGTGAACCTGAGCTTGGCTCCCTCAGACTATTATGAACAATTAATACGAAACTATCGATTTGAAATTGGCTCACTACTTGACTAGCCTATTGGTCCCAAGCAAATCGATTAACGTACCCCATTCTAGGAGGTTATTTTTCACCCCACTAGTAATAAACAACTTTACACAGTGATGCATCCGCTAGTGTACGTGCGTTAAACGTCACTCTATAGTTATACGGCTTATACAGGCGTTACGGACATGAATAACATATTTTTTTTTATCCCCATAGGATTGCAATGATCGGGGTCGATGAGAAAAATTTTCAAGTGACTACGATGCCGGACGGATTAGTCTATGGTGACCAAATAAACACCGGATTCACGATCTTGATTAATCACAATCTTCTTGAAAATCTTTATGGTTCGGTAATCGTTGGTCTGTCTTTGTCTATGTCTTCTTCTCATTCGTACGTCATTTTTAATGTCTGGATGTTTTCTTGTCTAATGTCATTATGTGTTTGTGTATCAGTGTGTGGGTGTGTGGGTGTGTGTGTGTGTGTGTTTGTGTGTTTGCACCAAATGATTATATTTCTTCCTCATCTCCTAGTTTTAACTGCGTTTATAAATAAAAAAAATAAAAAAATTAAAAAAAAACTAGCTTACTATCCACATTTGTTGACTAATACCTAAATGTTATTTTTAATTTTATGACGATAAGTTGCTCAAAACAGCAGCCTGTAATACCAGAATCCGCCTCCAATTTAATGTCTTTCGATATGTTCGAAGGTGAACCCTCCGCAACCTATTCTTGCTAGTGATTCGATTCTATCCAATTATTAGGTATCCAAATTATAGTCATTCGTAAATTTATTATTGAATATATGGATGAATTATGTATTATTGAATAACTACTATTTACGATAGTTACATGAAATAAATAAAATATAAACTACAAACAAAACGTAAATACTAAAATCTCAAAAAGATATTCTCACAAATGTATTTCACGCAACCAGGAATCTGAAAACCATTAGACGCTATAATGATACTTAGCATATGCTAGACACAAGAAGAGGTTAAAAGGCAAGCGTCCGACACACAAAACCCGCCAAATCCACTCGCAGCCACAATCAACGATTCTACGAATCGCGAGCGCTCACGAACCATAAAACCGCCGACTGCGACACTCTGAAAGCGATTGACAGGCTCTATGCGTCAAACACCCGCCCGGATCCAACAAACACAAATCCCCATTACAACATCTAACGAATTCAAAACTCCGAAAATCACTCATCTACCTATAGCAAGTGAGTGGAAGCAACCCTGCATGCAACTATTCTTCATGGTACACTATTTCTGCCTATCTTTCTATTAGGCCTGTGGACATGCGTTAGCTTCGAAACTTCTAACCAAACTGGGAAATCTATCAGATCACAAAAACTTGAAAAAAACATTCAAAGGTATTATTGATTATTTTACGCAAAAACGAGCAAGTAATATTTAATCTCTTGTATCGTATGCTAATGGCAATTGACTGTAACAAAAATAATATGCTAAAATAAAATAAAATTTTAATAAAATGATATGCAAAATTTACTAGAAGATCATTGCTTTATTGGTGAGAAGTTTCTAATAAGCCATCCCAGTTCCTCTGTATACAGAACAAATCTGATACTATAATCAGAATTGCTCAGTCTGCATGAAGCAGCCGATTTCATCAAGGAAGTTTTATTAACAACCAAGAATTAATCGTTTGAGGCATACTGAAGCATTAAGAAGGTGATATGTTTCACTATAGGAAATCATCATCGTTGCAAATATAAAGAAATTAAACATAACCCTTTGCTTCAGTACCGTCAACCTCCATGTCCATGGGGAGGGATTACGGACATGAATAACATATTGTGGACAAATGATTTTTATCTAGATAAAAAAAATACAATGGCTTTGACATATCGGATCGCTGCACATTTGAATCGGTCGTTATAGCTTTTCGATCAGAAGTTAAATTTATGTTTCATGTCGGTTTATCGGTGTTACGGAGATATTGCGTTAAAAACGTTGCCTCTGAAGTAAGTAGGGAAAAGTCGAATTCGTTTTAGAGCTTCGAAAATGTAGAGCGCCTTCCGCTTGAAGAGCCAGCTAATGATGATTTGATGTAACTTTGTTAACTTATGATCAATTGAGCTGAAACGTTCGCCAAAGAACTACCGACAAAGCGACATTGAAATTGTACTTGTAATTTATCAGCCCTCACCCTGGTGGCCACTGCCAACCCATCGTGTTAGGTGATGACCTACCAAGCCTAAGCGTTAAAACATGCCAGACCGTATAGCATGCCGCAATCGTGACTGGCCGGCGCAAAATATCCAAAGTAGTACATCGATACATTAAATAGGGATAGAAAGAGATGGAGAGGGAAAGAGTTAGAGATATCAATTTGCTGAAAGAAAAGAACATAAAGAACGAAAATATAAGTTGCCTCCTTGGTCTACCGCTATGGCTGATCCGTACGGTATACCGATACCTGGCACTAAACATTGACCGTTCCATAATTGGTTGGACCGTACGACAAACTGACATGAATGACCACAGCAAAAACAATAAAATTTCTGACCAAAGCACACTACTGACATCTGGCTCCGTGTTCGCGGGAAATATTTAGCTAAGCCATGAAACCGCATGCAAAACGTATGAATTGGTTCGTTTCTGATCTATTCTGGACAAATTATTTTTATCTAGATCAAAAATCCTACACGCAGAGAAATGCTTTTTAAATTCAATTGGATATACCCAGGGCTGGCAAATGTCATTTTCAATGAAAGATCTCACGCAATATTTGCAGAGATACTTCTGTCACTATCATTGGATGAGAAAACTATCATAGAGATTTTCTTCAAAATCTCATTGAATTTTTTGTCATGACAGAACGTGACAGTGTTGTGATCATCGTAATTACTAGCTCATTTAATGCTTTTAAAGATACTTGTACCACAAACGAAGTGACAGACGGAGCGGCTCGAAAACTTTGGTGACTAACCTGCTATTTCAATTTTTCAGTGTACCACATGGCAATACCACTACTACTGGATTGTACCACATGGCAACACTTCTACTGGATTGTACTAGCATTTTCACCAAATGTATTAGAATGTTTTGGTTCTATCTCTTTCACTCTACTCAAAACTGAAATGCATAAAAAAAATGACAAAATGATACACTCTTTGCACTCTGTCAAAGAATCATTGTACACAAAATCAACTATGTTCAAATCAAAACAAAAAAACTAACCCATCTGGTGGATGATGGCACAAGCTTCCTAGAAAATTCTATTACAGTGAACCACATTATTTTAATGGATTTCTTCGCCAGTAAGTCGTCTGTCACTTCGTTAGTGCTTGTACCGAAGAAATCTTAGTAATAAATCACTCTACCGATTACATACGGTTTTTTGCTTAAATTCCTCTAAATCAGTTAGAAATGGTGATGTTATAACCGCATAAGAATTATTCTCATGAGTGCTTGATCATTGAAAAATGAGAAGAAAGCTAGGTAGTTTTGTCTCGTGATAGTGAGAGGACCTGTTTTCTCATCGTCACATGACGGCCGTGATATTTACCAGCTCTGGATATACCTATTTTTGGCTCAGGGCCTAATATATTTTTGGTATTGATTCAAATATATTATTCGGTTAATTCAAAGAAAAATATTTTCAGTTCAGCTTCGAACCTGTTCGGATACGGTTGTGTATAAGTTTATTTCTGTTTTGTGCGTGCGTTCGCTGATTTTGCCAGATTAGCGCTGGCACTCTGCCTCCCGGACGGTTATACGTGTGTGATTGGTGGTTTTCTCGCTTTCCGAGAAGTTTTGGAATCGAAAAAGAAAACGTGATGCATCATGTTTGCAGGCATCAGAAGAAATGTCGCTATCTGCGTTGTTTGTTTTTTTTCTTCGCTTGTGCTCCCAGTACAGAAATTTGTGGCGTCGCGTGTGATAGTTTTTGATTTCAGTTTGTTTACGCGTTGTATGATTTTGTGAGCGGTCGCTTCGTGTTCGCGTCATGGAGCAATCGACTACATTCGACCAGATGATTGATCCCCGTAGGGCGGGTCTATGATCGGAGCTACTACACCAAGCGTGACATAGCTGCTTGCAAGGGATTCAGTTGGACTGATTTGGTGAGATTGTTCCATTTTTCTACTTTTGTCTATTTAAACTTAATTTCTATGAATGCGTATCGTTTGGAATCATTTGATTCGGATGAGACTCTTAACTTTTATTTGTTTACATTGTGTTTCAATTGGTATTCTTAAGAACTTCACAAAATAAGGTTTCAATATTTAAATTGAGCACCTCGACTAGCCTGGTGGCTGCCGCTTTTGCTTACTGAGTAGAAGACCGTCGGGGATCCACATTGTAAAGATTCCCTATTTTCAGCTTTTTTACAGGCTGGAGTTGTTGTTTGAACCATTTAGTTTATCAATTTAATTTATCTGTATAACAATTATTCACAAGCATTCTTCCAGGTCAATTCAAGAATAGTTTGATGATGATAAATCTTCCTAATATTCACATTACAGTTATGACCCGATCCTGTCAATCTCTCCGCGCATCAGACTGTTATTTTTCAATAATTCCACATAATTGTAATTTCATACCTTCCTCCTTCAAGATGAATGTTTAAGATACACATACTTTGCTAGCTGACAAAATGGGGTCATTGCTGTATAATTATTCTCTTTTTGCAGCCTTCATTCAGACTGGATCTATTGATTTAAATTATTTGAGTTTTCTTCCAGCTCTTTGATGACGGAACATCACTAGATTTATACTGTAATGATTCACTCTTACAGCTTTCACCCTGGTTTTGTCTGTTGATTTGATTTGGTTGAATTGGTTTTCAGCTCTTTGGTGTTGGCAGTCACGGGCGATCAATTTTGCTCATGCTCATGCTCTAAGTTCATTTTCAGCATTCGATGATGGAACGTCTTCAGATTTATATTATAATGGGGCTTGTTACGGGTGTCACATCACGGTGAAAAGTTGTCACTTGTCGTCACGGTGAAGTGATTCCCATTTGATTTGTACGGTAACCACGGCTCTTATTCTGAGTATCACTTTCTTATCACCGTGTAGTGACACCCGTAATAAGGCCCAATGATACACCATTTGGTTTTGGCTTAGGGCAAATCCAAGTATAATGCATGATAACACTGATTCATTTAAAACCATGGTCGCATCACTTATCAAGGTGAATCCTGATCCAACGAACCCAACTTACTAACAAAATCTCCTTTTCTGTGTCTTTTGTTGGAGTGCAGAGGTAAACACGGCCCACAAACAACAAAGGTCACTCTAATATTCCTTCCCTACTCCCACCTGATTGCAAGGATGTGGCCGGCGCCGTTATTGATCTACAACATATAGAGCCACTGAAACTTGTACAAAGAGAATTGACGGTCACTCCCAGCCCCATTCAGTTGATTCATTGTACAATTTCACTGATTCTGATCAATCACGGAGTGCAGTCAATCTAAGCTAAGCTAGCTATTGGTTATCCTAATTGTATAGTGTTTATAGTACTACATATCTTTCATTATTGACTTTACATCATTTAATATTATTGTAAATTACATTTTATTATACTTAATTCTTAATGTTAGCTATTATGAGCGGCTCCAGGGAAGCATAGTGTCAGCTTGAAAAGAAATCTGAATCGTTCATTATCTGTTTTGTAAAAATCTTGTGTTTATTGGCATGGCATTATAACGCATTTTCAATATTACATTACATTTAAATAAGTATTAACCCGGTTACACACATTTCAGGTCATCCAGGTCTTAAATAAGATGGGATCCGTTCCTTTTATTAACAGTTGTGATATTGCATCATATGCTGAAAATATATGAATTATCGCGTATTTCTGTTGTTCATTACATACCAGGTGAGGGCTTAATCATGTTTTGCCATCTAGTGTTTTGGTTTTGAGATGCTCGATAACCTTAGAGGGATCGGTTTTGCTTAATGAGCAGAACATCATGGGTTTAATCCCAAGCTCACCCACAACATAACACAACACAAACATATCAAGTATCATTCTAGCTAAAAATATTTATTTGCATAATATAACCTGGAAATTTCAGGGTTACATCTTCCTTATTGGGAGCTGAGGAGACATAGAGCTGCATCATATTGAATGTAAAATAATTATTATTTTCATTGCGGAATACCAGTTTTTTTTTATCCATATAAATGTATTTTCATTATTACGTATTTTAATGTTCTGATATATTTCATTTCTCCATTACATATGTTTACTATATATATAAATAAATACTGGGTTGGGAGGGAGCATCAGGGTATCATTTGACATGGAACTGGACGATTGGAGTGGTATGACAACCGGAGTCTAGGAGGGAATACACACTATTATTTTCTTTATCCTACCGATTCGATTGTAATGGTGTGAATTCTACTCCAACAGTTTCATGGAGATTGACGCGCCCTTCTTAACAAACCATCCTGTAGGAAGCTTAATAAGTATTGCGAATTGCGTTATTCGATTTGTTGGATCGTATCGTTGGAAAGAGATTCTTAAATTCCCGTGGATTTCGCGTAAGTGTCTCTGCTTACGGGTCCACCCCACCGTTTTTGGCCCTTCATACAGCGATATTGTGAATTCAGATCGGTAGCTCAAATTGATCTTGCTATTAAGTGGAGCTGCATACAAGACAAGATCTTCGAAGGGATGGTGGCTACCTTACATACATACATACATACAATTCAAAGAAAAATATTTTTGAATCAACAAACCGGTTGTAGAGTCAATACTCTGTTTGTTGATTCTAAAAACCATTTTGTTGATTCAAAAATATGTTTTGTTGAAATAGTGATACAATATATTTGATTCAATAACAAACAAAAATCCATTTTCTCCGTGTAGGGTTTTGACAGTTCTGATCACTGCACATTTAAATCGGCCGTTTATGATTTTCGGGCATAAGTCAGAATTAAGTGTCATGTGGGTTTGTCGGTGAAAGAACTACAAATTTTCAATTTTACGATAGCAAAATATTAAATTTTTGGAAGCACCTGCCGGAAAGTGAGACACCACGTGGAATTGTTCAAAATAATAGCAGTTTTTTATTTGAAAATTTACGTGCTGCAAATATTGTGTTTTATTGTTGTTTTACATCAACAGGCTGGATGAAGCCCCCAATGATGTTAACCTTATCAACCATGGTAAAAAAAATTAAACACAATGAAAAATTTAAAATCTCAAAATTAAGCTGAAATGAAAATTATTAGTACTGCTATTATTTTGAACAATTTTACCTGGTATCTCACTTTCCGGCAGGTACTTCCAAAAATTTAATATTTTGTAATCGTAAAATTGAACATATTTGTAGTTCTTTGGCGAACGTTTCAGCTCAATTGATCATAAGTTAACAAAGTTACATCAAGTCAAAGTTGACAATTTTGTATGAAAATCGACATACGCTGTTGTTTTATCGAACACAACTGTACATCCGTAGACCATATAAATCCACCGGCAATGCACCCGTGTACTGAATGGGAATTGTGGATTCGAATCCCACCGGTGCCCTTAGATTTTTTCGCAAATGTTCTCACGTAGAGATGAACTAGCCTAAGGCTAAAAATCTCTTAAATAAAGAATTTAAAAAAAAAAAAAAAAAAAAAAAGTTCTCACACACACACACACGTCTCTTAACGATGATATGTGCTTATCTCTCAGTATGTTCAAACTATATTTAAAAAGTTATCCAGGAAGCTTACAAGCAACATTTTTTTTTTTTTGAAGATTTTTTTTCCACGGATCGTTCGGATGAAATTTGTGTATATCCTTATAGTTTGGTGCATGTATTTTAACAAGTCTCTGATTTACTTACCATCGTTGACACCCCATCTCCTACTAAAGCAGTTGACGGTGCAAACAGCACTGTCTGTGCTAACTCGTCTACCTTTCTGAGAACCTGTTGATCATCCGCGTGCTGTCTCCGGGTATGAGCTATGAGAAAAAGAAAACATCATATTACATTACAAATATATAAATAATACTACCGCAGTTCATAGATACCTACAAGCAAGAGTTTTGTGACAGGTGAAGCCGGCATTGCAAATGATGCACACGAATGGTCTTTCTCCCGTATGCTGCCGGATGTGAGCCCGGAGTGCCTTGGCCAAGTTGAAGCCCCTTCCACAGAAAGAGCACTGGTGTGGTTTCTCGTCCAAATGTGTACGCATGTGAACGTTCCGGTCACCCACCCGAGCGAATGATTTGTTACACATCTGGGGAAGAATGACGGGTTTATAAGGAGTTTTAGTAGTTTAGTGTAGGTACTGCCGATTTGAGTGTGTGATTGACAAATAAATAACAATAACAGTTCAACTTACCTCACAGCTGTACGGTTTCCGCTTTAGATGCACCCCGTTGATGTGAAGCTTCAAATGTTCGAGTTTTTTGAAAGTATTGCTGCATTCAGGGCAGATGAATTTTCGCTCCTCGGTGTGAACCTTGATATGCTTCGCCAACGATGACGGCACTTTAAATGTTCTGCTACACAAATCACAACCGTACGGAGAATCATTGGGCTTTTTGGAAGGCTTATTCTCTTCCTCCTTAACCGGAACCTTGCCGGTGTTGTCTTCGTTTTCTTGCAATGATCGTTCAAACCGTATGCTTATATCTGTTTTGCCGTGGACCATCAAATTATGTCGCCTCAGATCTCGGATTCTCAGAAACGATTCGTTGCAGAATTCACAACGATGCGATTTTTCGGCATTGTGTAGAATAAGATGTTTCACGAGTGTGCCTTGTTGAGTGAACTTCTTACCGCACTGTTCACATTGATAAGCCTGGACGTTATTGTGGACAGCAAGGTGCAGTTTTAGACTACCTTTCTGTACGAATTGTTTATTGCAAACATCACAAGCATACTTTCTATTACCTTCGTGCTTTTTGAGATGCGTTTTAAGACTACATTCATGACGAAAACTTTTGCCACATATGTTACACAGATAGGACCGTTTTGCCGTGTGGGTCAATTCGTGATTTTTCCTATGTGTATGCTGAATAAAGGACTTGTCACAGTGGCGGCATTTATACTTCTTTTCCGTGTCGTGCGTCTTGAGATGATACTCATATTTGGAAGTGCTGGAAAAATTCTTTCCACACGTAGGGCAAACATGATTGCCAACCGAGTGAACCGTTTTCTTGTGTTTTCTAAGGTAGCGCCTACATTTGAAGGACAACTCGCATTCATCACAGGGGAATGCATTAACTTCACTGTGCACAAATAAATGATTATTCCTGATGGCGGCAGACCGGAAAATTTTATCACATACTGGACATTTTAGCTTATCTTCGTCCTTAGAAGGGTTTTCCGAACGAATGGAATCCTCATTTTCTGACAACGATTCTTCACTTTCCGACCTATATTCCGATGACGATTCTTCACTTTCAGGTTCAATATTGGTTTTATCCTCATTTCCGTCATGCCTTGAGTCATTTAAAATTTCCGACTTTTCAGCAAAGCAGACTAGTACATCCGGCCTGATTTCCGGCACTTCTTCGGGAAGCTTCACGAAGTAATGTTCGAGATACTCTTGAGCCTTTTCGCATTGCTTTCGGAAAGCATCGACAGCCACCAACCGTTCCATGCAAATTCTGCAAATATTTGCCGGATACCCATCGTCTTTCGCAATCTAAAAAGCTGGTTAGTCAAATAACTGCTACAAGTTACAAGTTGTAGCAGATTACATACCTTCAGTTTCAGTCGCGATAACTGATCGAACAAATTTATAGATAATTTACTACTGCATTCGGTGTCGTCAAAGATCGAAATCAACTGCTGGCCAGAATCGGTGTTCAGACACGTTCGACAACTGAATGTAAGCGATAGCTTTTCAACACAAACTGCTTTGACTCTGTCCTCGGTCTTCATTTTGTATGTCTAATTCATAATGTATTTTAGAAATGTTATCGAAATATTCTCAAATTGAAAACAATTCGTCGGCAAAGAACCAAAACAACAATAGATCAGTGCACGAATATTTGCTGCAATCTTCTCTCATCCGTAAATGTTGACAGTTTTGGGTGGTTTGTTTTGGCTCCCATTCGTTGCCATCTCTTTTACTCAGAGACAAAATTATTGGAACCAAAAAGTGAGGTTAGAGGCCGTGCACTGCTCTATACAATTTTGTTGATTTTGATTGACGTTGACGGCACCGTCGAAAAATTTGCTCTTCCAGCAAATATAGACAGCTTCTTATGGGAATTTTCGGTGGAGTGAGAGGATGGAGAGGATAGTACAAAGTCCGCCATGTTTTACGCACAGTCTGACGTTTGCTTATGGATTTTATTAAAGAGACTGAATTTATAAAGAGACGACATCAATCTTATCCATTTGACAGGTCTTCTGCTCGATTGGAATGACTTTCGTTATGACTTTGACAGACAATCGATTGTTCCAATTTTGACATATCGCCTCTTTATAAATTTAGGCTCTTTAGATTTTATCATTGACGAGTGCACGGATGGATTTTAGTTCACTCACTCTACAAAAAGTGACACAACAGCGGGGCCCTGTTTACTAAAAATGAACACATATGTGTTCATTTTTAGTAAACAGGACCCCGCTGTTGTGTCACTTTTTGTCGAGTGAGTGAACTCAAATCCATCCGTGCACTCGTCAATAGGAGTAAAAAGCTACAGAGTCGCCGTCAACGCCAATTAGGTTCTACAGCGTGACGTCACAAATGAACTCAGTGTTAATCGGCTGACAGTTCAGTGGTACTGTTTACAAGCACTTAGTCGTTTTTCTCGAAAAACAATATTCTAAAATTTCCGAATTTCAACTTGAAAATTGTCAAGGAACAGCGCGTTGAAAGGATGTTGGTCGTGGATATTGCGGAAGTGTGGTTTACATCTCACAGCAGTCTGAAAAATTGTCGAGACAATCCACCCAAGAAAAAATCGACTAAGTCCACGTAAACAGTACCACTGAACTGTCATCAGATTGAGGTTAACCCCGACGGTGCAAAACCTAATTGGTAAACCTTCGAGCAACAAAGCGAAAGGGCGTATTTCCGGAGATTTGGGTTTGTACTAAATTAGTACAAACCCAAATCTCCGGAAATACGCCCTTTCGCTTTGTTGTTGCGGTGCTACACTGCCGTGCTACACATGTCGTTATCGTTTTTGCGGTGTAGCTATACCGGTGCTACACTGCCGTACACCGAAATATTTTAGGGTGTAGATATAGGATGCACCTTTGTTTACAAACACATGATGTTGAGCTGTTGAGCTGTCAAAGGCTCGCGCTTATTCCTGCTTACACTACACCAGTGCTACACCGCAAAAACGAAAACGACATAAGAGGGGTTCACCGAAAATAGTTTTCATATAGCTTCCATTGGAAACGCACATGATTTTCATCCATAATCAAAATTAATGGAATTCATCTGAATTTCACATAACATTTATGCGATCACATTAATTTTAAATGATTTTTCATATGAATTTCATGGACCTCATAATATTCATGTAATTTTGTGGTGGGATTTGCTGCTATGTGATCACAGGAAAGCTATGTGAAAATCACATGGATTTCATCCATTAGCGGATAATAATATAAATTTTTTGAGTGTTTGTATCGTTTGTATGCATATTTTTCAACAAAATAAATACTTCAGGAATAACATTTGATAACGGCACAAAAGCATTTGTAAACAAACTTTCTAAAGGGTCACCCACATTCGATGTCAATCATACAAGGTCTGGAACAACAGGCAGCTTGCTGGTGTTAGAAGCAAAAATGTTGAAAACATTGCTGAGCAAACTAATGACGACGTCACGGCAGCACAACATTCCATACTGCGAATGGCAGACGTGTCGTCACAGAAAACAGCTGTTTCGTGTAAAAAGATAAATATTGCGATGAAATACGAACACCACTAAACATTCCCACATTTCACTAATACCAATAAGCCGGTTGGGCCCGAGGGGGGTGTGGTGGATACGGCCCTGCGCAAGCAATGCGCAGACGGACGATAAAATGTATGTAAACAAAAAGATCAGCATAAACGCGATCACGCCACTCGGGCAGCGAACGCAGTTTGTGCTGATCCAGCAGAAAGGGTCACGTCCGCCACCGCTAGGTAGGTTAAGTTAGCATAAGAGAGAAGTAATAAAATGATTCTTAGTTCTGACACGGAGGCGAGCAGTTGAGTTGATTTTATCATACCGAAAGCCAAGTGGCTAATACTAACAGATAGAGGGACAACTTTTCATGGCGATCCTGCCAGGAGCTCTAAGGAACAGTAGATGAGTGCTGCAAATTGTGTGCCGTTAATTGAACGCTACCGCCGCCGCGACGAAAAGTGATAATTAATGACAAACACAAAGTGTGTTTGATCGAGTTCGAACAGCGAGTGCACTGCGATGCGATGCGGCAGAAAACCAACCGGTCGCGAAAAGAAAGTTTCTGTGATTAACAGGCCAATAAACTACAATTACAACAGCCAAGCCTGATAGATGGTCGTTAAATTAGTGAAAACAGTGGAAAAAATTTAGTAATCAAACGAAACCGCGAGTGACAATATGGGTTGGTTCAGTGCGGACGAAATCGTCGCCGCACCAGCCGCCGCGAGTGGGGGACAGCCACAGCCCCAGTGTGGACATCATACAACCCAAACAGTGGCTCTGTGTGCCATGGCGGTCTTTGCCGCTGGCTATTTGATTTTCAAAGGAGTAGCGAAGATCAACCGCCACAACACTGAGCGCGTTGCCGAGAGGGCGGCACGCCGTGTGAATGCGCAAGTTTAAGGTTTGAAGACGGACTCCTCTCAATAAGTAAATTGACAAAACTTTGACCGATATTCAAGTGCAAGGAAAAATATTTGAAGCCACTGCTGGGAAATCTTACGAAGTGCGGCTAAAGTCCAGTGGAAGCTGAAATTTACAATAAACCACCACCCCACGAGTGCGCATGGAAGAAAAAAAAAGGCGAACCGTAAAAGACAAAGTGAACAAAAATTAAAAAAAAAAAAAAAACATTGAACATGTGGACAGTATCGATTTCTTTATAGTTGCTCAAGCGATAGAGCAATTTGAACGCGAAAAAAAAAAAGTTTTGGGAACGAATTTCCCGTAGAGACAAAAAAAAACTATCTGTGGAAGTGATGGCCGCGAAGCGTGCAATCTTTGAAGCGGTATACAACCTGGCAGCAGGAGCTGCCCTGAGGATAAGGTCGGCAGGCCTCATCGAGGACTTAAACTGGGCCTACAACGGCCTCAAGATGACCGTAGATGCTGTGAAGCCCTAAGTGAGTCGCCGTGCTGTAACGACGAGAACGTAGTCGTCATCGTCGTCGTTGCCGGTTTGCAGAACAAAAAGGGAAGCGATAGTAAGTGCCTGATAAAATGAACTGATATCGGAAAACATAATCATATAATCAAGTTGCATAACACTAGTAACAAGTAAGGTGTGTTCTAGAACCTTTTCCAATATTCAATGTTTACAAGAAGAGAAAAAAAAAAAATAATCTCAATGCATTCAAGTGTAAATCTAATAGAGTTCTACTAATAGGACTCCCAATATTTATATAGGCAGTGGAAATTTTTGTTTTGTGCATTATAATTACTTATTTACGATTATATCGATCTACATGATTCTCTATTGCTTTACTTATGACTAAAAGAGCGTAAATTTGCATTTAAAGTTGGAAATTTTTCCGAAACATACATTGATATCACATAAGAAATTATTTCGAGAAATCAGGTCGTCACTGTGTTCCCTAATTGGTATTAAAGTTCTCCATTGTGGAAGATTAGCAAAGCAAGACGAACCGAAGCCATTATTTCACACTATGAAGCTATTTTAAGATATTTTCTGAAACCTTCTAACTTCTTGAGTCAAATCCTCTGAATTGTCTATGTTAGGTCACATTGTAGGCATACATGGACCAATATGTAGAAAAAGAGACAGTAGTGAAAAATTTATTAAAGGCTGTTGCCACAGTTAACGCAACGAGCCCCCAATATTCCAAAAAGAAGGATACGGTGCTCGGACACGTAACTTCACTGCAAAAGTTTGTACTGTCATTAGCAAACAAGAAGATTGACAACGCGTTCGCAGCATTTAGGCTGCAAGTTAACCAATTTTTCATAAGAAAAGAGGAAGAAGAACAGGAAGAAGAAGCAGAAGGTGAACAGGAAGAAGAAGCAGAAGGTGAACAGGAAGAAGAATCCGAAAGCGAATCTGACGAAGAAAAAACTAAGCCCATAATGCCGCCCAAACTGGATCTTAGCTTGGCAATCCGCGTCGTGGATAAATACGACGGGGATGCAGCCACGCTACAATCCTGGTTGGATAGCGTGCAGGTTCTTCGGGAGGACGATCCTACCGTCCCGGAGGCCAATTTTATTAATTTTTTGAAATCGCGGTTAATTGGTGCCGCGAGGGGATCCATTGATGGAACCCAAACACTGGCAGATGCGACAACTGCCTTGAAAACAAAGTTCGCAATTCAACTTACACCTATTGCGGTGGAGGCTGAATTACGAGCTTTGAAGCAAAAGAACAAAACAGTGACGGATTTTGGCAGCGAGGTAGAAAAGCTCGCTACCAAATTAGCGTCCGCATGGGTTTCGAAGGGTGTGCCCTTCACCACTGAGGCCTCAGCGAAGCCAGTAGTGGAACCCATAGCAGTGCAAACCTTCATAAACGGTCTTAAGGATCAATCAGCAGCTTACCTAGTGAAATCTAGGAATCCAAAGACGTTGACTGCTGCTATTTCGGATGCATTGGAGGTGCAACCTCATGCATCCGCTGAGTCCGCAATGTGGGCTCAGGGGGGTTATCAACCTCCATTTTTCAACAGGGGAAACCGTAGAGGTAACCACCGCGGAGGCCGTGGTAACAATTACCATGGTAATCGTGGCGGTAACCGAAACTACGACGGGAATGGTCGCAACAATCGACCGCATCAAAACAACAATGGTTATCGGGGTAACCAAAATAATCAAGGTTACCGTGACGACCATGGAAACAATCGAAATCAGAATCACAACCGTGGTGGATATCACGGAAATAACAACAATAATAGCAGTAACAACAACAGCAACAACAACAGTAACCGCAGAAGAAATGCGAACGTGGCTGAAGAACCACAGCCGTCGCAACAGCAACAACCCCGAGAAGAAGCAAACGTAGGGGAGTTTTTTCGCTAATTCGATCAATACTAATAGAGCATTACGGTTAGATTTTCTAATCGATGCCAAAAATTTTAAGTTGATAGTGGACAGTGGTGCATCATGCTGTCTCATAGATCAACGTTATTTAACAAAAAATTTGAACAGATGCATTGATCCATCCCGTACCATAGAGGTGTATGGTATAAATGGAATTACCAACACCTTGGGAGCGGTTGATACTTATTTGGAATATAAACAGTTAGTATATCCTATAACTTTTCACGTGGTAGATCATTTACCAACCAGTGTAATTGGTCTAATCGGCACAAATTTTTTGAAAAAATTTGGTGCGAAAATCGATTTTGAACATTCTACGCTATCGCTAAGAGCGCCTCGATATGAGGAAAACTTCATAGTACCTCCCAGAACAGAAGTCGTTACCTTCATAGACACCCGGTATTCCAAACCGTTGGTGATTTTGAATGAGGAAATAAAGCCTCATGTTTTTATTGCGGGTGCAATTGTGCAACCGGTGCAGGGAAAGATCCCTGTCCGTATGATGAACGTTAAAAATAAGCCTGTAAAAATTGAGAATTTAACCATTTCAACAAAGCCTTTCGAAAACTATGATGTCATAGAAATCGAAAGCGCTTCCAAGCATAATGATGCGAGAGTGGGCGAGCTTTTATCGGAGTTGAACCTTGATGGGATCAACCCGAAAGACCAGCCAGTTATTCAAAAGCTGTGCATGAAATATAACGATATTTTTTGTCTGAAGAATGACAAATTATCGGTGACAAGAATTTACCAGCCATCACTCACGGTAAAGCCAGATGTACACCCAGTGTACACCAGGCCTTACAAATTACCACAAGCCCAAAAGGAGGAAGTCCAAAGGCAAGTGGATAAAATGATCGAGGAAGGGATCATTGAAGACGCCGTTTCAGAATGGAACAGCCCGTTGTTGCTAGTTCCAAAGAAATCGACCGATGATAAAAGAAAATGGCGATTAGTTATTGACTATCGCAAGCTCAACAACGCACTGCAAGACGACAAATTTCCACTTCCTAACATAGAAGAGGTAATTGAGTCGTTAGCCGGAGCGAAATATTTTTCGCATCTGGATCTATCTCAGGGTTACTACCAGTGTGAGTTAAGACCTGAAGATAGATCGGTGACAGCTTTTAGTACTAATAGGGGTCAGTACCAAATGACTCGTCTCCCTATGGGACTAAAAGTAAGCCCTTCAACATTTTCCAAACTAATGACCGTAGCAATGTCAGGTCTCAACATGGAAAAGTGCCTTGTATATCTGGATGACATAATCATCTTTGGAAAAACTTTAGAGGAACACAATAAAAACCTCGCGGAAGTTTTTGAAAGGTTAAGACATACCAACCTAAAACTAAATCCGCAAAAGTGTAATTTTTTAAAGACCGAGTTATTATATTTGGGTCATCTAGTATCTGTCGAAGGAATTAAGCCAGATCCTTCGAAGATCGAAATCATAAAAAGGTGGAGTAGTCCTCAAACAGCCGACGAAGTAAAGCGCTTCGTAGCGTTTGCGAACTACTACCGCAAACACATAAAGGATTTTGCCAAATTATGCAGTCCTTTGAATAAACTAACGCGGAAAAATGTGGAGTTCGTCTGGACAGACGAGTGTGAACACTCCTTCCAGTTTCTGAAGGAATGCTTCATGAACCCGCCTGTCCTTGACTACCCTGATTTTTCCCCGTCAAACATTTTTACTTTGCATACAGATGCATCAGGTAAGGCATTGGGTGCAGTCCTAAGCAACCAAAATGCTAGGCCAGTTGCATTTGCAAGCAAAGCCCTGAACAGTGCTGAAAAGAATTACAGCACCATTGAAAAAGAACTTTTGGGTCTAGTCTGGGCGATTCGACATTTTCGACCATATCTGTATGGTAGAAAATTCGAATTGTATACAGACCACAGACCGCTAGTATATTTATTTACATTAACTGACCCTTCGAGCAGACTGACCAAGTTTCGTCTCGCTCTGGAGGAGTATAAGTTTGACGTAATGTACAAAAAGGGCACGGAAAATGTGGTAGCGGACGCGTTATCACGAATTTCCGTAGAAGATTTGAAAGCTCTCACACCGCAGACTGGTTTGGTGTGTACAAGAGCTCAAGCCAAGAAACAGCAGGCGTCAGATGAACTAAAGGCAGGAGATGAGAAAGAAAAACTTAACTACATAGAAATACAAATTGGGCCCAAAAACAGCAACAAAAATAGCCAAGCTACAGAAACAACAATTGATGAGCAACTGAAGAAAGGAGTTCTCTCTATCGAGCCTAATACGTCATTAACTCACCTACGGGGAGTGATGAAACGATTAGTGGACTTCGCGAGAGCAACTAAAATTATAGGCCTTACACTGAAATGTTCGAACGAAGCAAAATCGTTGAGGGAAAAGATTGAAGCCCTCCAAGTTAGTGGCATGCCACCTATTTTTATAATAGGAAAGAAAATCACGGAAATTACGAACAAAAAAGACCAACAGGTTGTAATAAACGATTTCCACGTATTGCCAACTGCAGGGCATGCGGGAATCAAGAGAACAACCAACACCATCAAACAGCGATATCACTGGAAGTCCATGGATAGTGATATCGCATCCTTTATCAAAAATTGTCCTCAATGCCAAAAGAACAAAAGCCAAAATACTAGACAACCAATGCAGTTGACTAGTACGGCCAGTTCGGCGTTCGAGAAAATTTTCTTGGACCTTGTAGGTCCTCTTCTACCAGACGCGCAAGGGAATCAATATATTTTGACAACCCAATGCGATTTAACCAAATACATTACGGCAACACCAATTTTGGACAAATCGGCAGATGCTGTGGCCAAAGCATTCGTCGATAATGTCATTTTAAATTACGGTGTTCCAACGCAAATCTTAACAGATAGAGGGACAGAATTTATGTCTGCTCTATTTGTTAAAATATGTAATCAACTAAAGGTAGAGAAGTTGAACTCTACCGCCTATCATCACCAAACAATCGGATCGTTGGAAAATTCCCACAAAGTCTTGGGAAATTTTCTTCGTATCCAAACGGGAAACTCATACGGAAATTGGTCTGCCTGGGTACCGTATTATAAGTTCGCTTATAATACAACGGTACATAGTGCAACGGGCAAGACTCCATATGAACTAGTATTTGGGAAGCTTTGCACACTTCCATCAAACCTAACAGAACAGAATGAGACCGACCCTGTCTACAATGTAGACGATTATGCTAGTATTTTGAAATTCCAGTTGCAAAAGTCCCAAATAGAAGCTAGAAAAAGTCTTCTGAAAGGGAAAGCAACTAGGGTAGAAAAGAACAAGCAAGGATGTAGAGACAAAATTTTCGCAAAGGGACAACAGGTCCTGGTAAAGAGAGAAGTGGGGTCTAAATTGGAGCCTAAATATGAAGGGCCATATCAGGTCCTTGAGGAGTTAGGTTCCAATATAAAGATCCAAATAGGGAATAACACGGATATCATTCATAAGGATAGGATTAAAATTTTTTTTAACTCGAAATAGTTTCTTAATGTGGAAACAACAATACCGGAAGAAAAAAAAAAAAAAAAAAAAAAAAAAAAAGAGAAAGATATTACAAACACATTTTCATAACTAATACATCTATATTACAATTATATACAATTATGTTACACACATTTATATAGTAAAACAATTATATTATACAATCTTGATACAAAAAAAAAAAACTCAACATAAATAATTCAAAAACAATTTAAAAACTTATTCTGTTGAATAAATTTTTAAATTTCATTCGGATAGGGCGTGTGGTGGATACGGCCCTGCGCAAGCAATGCGCAGACGGACGATAAAATGTATGTAAACAAAAAGATCAGCATAAACGCGATCACGCCACTCGGGCAGCGAACGCAGTTTGTGCTGATCCAGCAGAAAGGGTCACGTCCGCCACCGCTAGGTAGGTTAAGTTAGCATAAGAGAGAAGTAATAAAATGATTCTTAGTTCTGACACGGAGGCGAGCAGTTGAGTTGATTTTATCATACCGAAAGCCAAGTGGCTAATACTAACAGATAGAGGGACAACTTTTCAGGGGCGACACACCTAAATCTCGATTCTAGATGCTCAAAAATCTCACACTAGTGAATAAATCTTCGAAAAATCTTCTTTCATTTCTCGCATCTACTTGCATCGCGCATCATTTTTTTGCAGGAAATCTTCAAAATCGTGATAAATCTTCTTGCTATCTACTCAGCGTACGCGCAGCTAGCCACAGCAAAACACAATATTTTCTGCATCGTAGATAGAGTCGTCCCCCTCGGTTGGGCCAGACCTTGTATAATTGACATCGACCCACATTAGATCCGTTTGTGTTGCGTTGACGTAAATTTGACAGTTATACAATAAATTTAGCTGTCACTTTGCCGCAACGCGTCCGATCCGGATCGAATGTGCGTGGGCCTTAAGGCCATTTACACGCGATCCAAAGTGACGTATATCTATCTGTTCTCAGTATGTTGGCAGTGACGTATTTCTATCTGTTCGCAGATGTTCAGCAATGTTTACAACATTTTTGCACACGGAGAGACGAAAAAACTCAAAATTAAGTCTTTTGTCATGTTTGCGGGGGCGTACTTTGGTTCGCGTGTAAAGGGCCCTAGAAAGTTTGTTTACAAATGCTTTTGTACCGTTATCAAATGTTATGCCTGACATAGGGATGGTCCATTTATTATTTCACACAAATTTGGCCCATTTTCAACCCCCCTCCCCCCTTTGTCACATTTTTTGTATGGACCTTATTTTTTTCTGTATGGCTCGTCACAGTTTCCAAAGCCCCCCTCCCCCTAAAAGTGTGACATAATTAATGGACGATCCCATATTAATAGGCACAAAAAAGTTTGTTTTTCATCATGAACCAAAATGAATATATTTCATCATAGCCCCTTTATGAAAAACATTCTATTTCAGGTTTGTCATCATCTTTCGGCTATTCTGTATCAATTAGCAAATCGCGGCGAACACTGCGCG